AAAAAGTTTTATTCCTCCATCAATTAAATTTTAGTAAAATGGATTTATTTAGTAGTAGTTTTGGTTTTATTTTTCCTTTTAATTTTTATTTTCTCAGCTGCTCATTCCTGAGAAATAAATTTTTAAAAAGTACATTTTTAATAAATTCTGAATTTATTTTTCTTTTATTAAATAAAAAATTATGGAGAATATAATTTTATTTTTATTAAGTAATTAATTAGAATTCTTTAGAATAATTTTTAAAAAATCAAAATGTGAAGGAATATTTAATTAAGAGAAGGGGGAGGAAAATGCCCACAATAATATATTAATTATTTTAGTTAAATTTTCAAAAAAATTAAATGGTCACTATTTCAATGCCTCTCCCATTATTTTCAACTTCTTCAGTTTCTACTTATTCACAACAATTTAAAAATAATAAAAATAATTCTTCTTCAATTTCTCGACATCAAGCTAGGCGTGTTTCTTTACCTAATGCTTTGTTGAATAATCAAAGTGGAGGAGGGTTTAGATCGCCTCGTTCTAGAACACCTAATTCTTTAAGTCCAAAACTTGGATTTTTAAAGGTTTTTTTTGAATTTCTTAAATAAAGTTGAAGATACTTTTTTGTGAAAAAATTCATATCTCTAATGAGGTTTATCTTAAATTGTTTAGGTTTAGGCAGCTCCCTCACATAACGGCCAACCAATTATCTAATATTTTGGATATCTCAATTTAGTTCAGTCTTTAATTAAAATTCTTCCCTTCTTTTTATTTTTTTAACTTCCTCAATTTTTATTTTATTACTAAAAATAATATAATTTTTAAAACAAAAATCCTTTTTTGTAACTTTAAAACTTTTTATTCCTTTGGGAAGCAATAGACGAACTTTACACAATTTCAAATTTAACAATAAATTAAAAAAAACTTTTTTTGCCTAATTTTTGCCAATAAATTTATTTTTACTAAATTCCCTTAAGGAAAGGGTTCGTTGCCTAAAAATAAAATAAATAGAGAACAGATTTGCCAATATTTTTCTTAAATATAACCTTTGTACATTTTAGGCAGTTTTATTGTTTTGAGACTTTTTGTTAGAAATTCTTTTATTTAAAATATTTTTAGTTTAAAGTTAAATGGAGATTTTTAAAAGGTCTGAGCTTGGGTTTGGACTGGGTATTTGATCCAAATAAAGCTCAAAACAATTTCCTATTTCCCAACTCTAAGTGTAAGAAAAATTCAGGCCTCTGCCAATACCCATATCCAATACCCTCTACCAGCACTTTTCTAACACCTAAAAAAATTTCAAAATTATTTAAACAAACTGTAAGAAAGGGGAAAATCTTAATAACACTTTTTAAGGAAATCTCAGAGTTCGACATTGATCCTCCTTTCATTTCACCTGGTGCATCTTCAAGCTCAAGGTATTAAATTAAAAATAATTAAATTATAATATATAATTAAATATATTTATATACCTACATACTATAATTATTCTATTCTTTATATGTAATTATTCTTTGAATTTATTCCTTTTTAATTTAGCCTTTCCTTTTTTATATAAAAATCTCAATAAATAGAAATGTCTCGTGAAGCAAATTATTCCCTAAAGAATAATAATTTTCTCAAAATATTTTCAGATGTTCCCACCCATAAAAACACAAAATGTAGCATTAAAAAAATAAAATTTAGTCTATCCCCCCTTTCTTTTATTTAATTAAAAATTATTTTCTCGAAATATACTATTTATTTAAAATATACAGTTTATCCCCTCATTATTTGGGACAAAAATATTTGGAACTTATAATGACGAATATCTTAAATTGAGCAGATTATGTTTAGGTACTTGTGAGGTCTGACTGATTTATTCATAGATTTCCATGTCATTTAAAAATATTGTGGGAATAATCTAAAATTATTTAAAATATTAAGTACTAAATTCAACAAAAACCTCCCCAAAAATCATTCTAAATATTCCAAGTACTATTTTCTTTAAGATAAACTGAAGTGCCAAAAAGAGAATAGATTTTTTTAGAAAATTTTAAAAAGAAAGTGAGAAAAGCTTTAATATAGGTAAGTAGAGTAACTAGATGGATTGTTGGACTTAAAAACTGTGACAAGTTAAAAGGAAAAAAGAAAGTAGTTTTTAAAAGAAAAAATACCAAAAAAATATATTTAAAAGTATTAACATAAATATATATTTTTGTTATAGTTTTTAAGAAAATGCAGGAATGCCGAAACAATCCAATTTAGGAAAAAATTAAAAAAAAGAGATGCTTGAGTGAAAAAGTTTTTTTTATTGTTGTCTACATTTATTTTTATCAAAAAAATGTTTTTGATGAATTACTTCCTTACTTTTCTTTATTTTCCATTCTATATGAGGAAAGACCCTCAAATATTCGGAATCTCGCGGTCACTTCTACTAAATACTTATTTTAGACTTATTAGACCTCATAAGATACACCAAATATAATTAAAATACACCCCTGTACCTCCTCTATTTAAAATATCCCATTATAGGATAAAATTTTTCTGTTCCAAAGGGGTCTGTCTATCTGTATAATAGTTATTTTTTAATCCCATTTAGTGCTGATAATTCTCATTGTAATTCTCCAATGCTTCTTTCACCATTTTCTCATCGTCCAGCCTCAGCACGGCCCTATCGCCGTAATAAACTTGTTAATCAAAACCAACAGCAACAACCTCAACAATCCAAAACTCAAGAAGAAATTAAGCAACGCAGAAATGTCCAATCTTTACGTGCTGCCAGACGTTCAGAACCTTTTATTTTAGCAAACTGTGAGGATTTGGCTGATGACGACTTTAAATGGACAGACGTTGATGGATTTTATGGAAGAAAAAATTCTATTCCGCTTCATCAATTATTGGCCAATGATTTGGCACTTCTTAGAGGAATTCATGCGAAAAATGGTTGGAAAATTAAATTATTTTTTGTTCCCTTTTTTACAAAAAATCTTTCTTTAGGAAGGCTTTTTGTAAATTCAGTAGAATCTATTTTTTAAATACACCTTAATCTAAAATATACATACTTATGTACTATATTTTTTAATTTTGTTAGTCACTGGACAGAGGTGGGAATTACCTACCTAAACGATTCCCCCAATTTAAGATCTACTTTAGGTATTAAATACCCCTCAAGTTAATAAAATATTCTCAGAACAATCAAATGGAAACACACCTCCTGGAACAATAAAACGTTTAAACAACATTTCTCCTTCTAATTCTGGAATAGATAAAAATGATGATAATCAATTGGAAGAAAATAATGATGAAAGTGAAGATTCTTTAAATTCTGGAAAATATAAAAAAAGACAAGAATCTCGTTTTAAAAGATCTTCTTTGGAAGAAATTAAAAAATCTTCTTCGGCCCCAATGAGTTCCCCAACAAAAAGACGTTTAAAAATGATTAAAAATAAATTATATTCTTTAGAAGATGATCAAAAAGTAAAATTTTTTTAGTTTTTTATTTAAAAAACTTTTATTTAATTAGGGAATTAAATCCAAATTAAATGAAAATGAAGGTTTGGATGAGCAGAATCAATCTAATTCTGAAAATGAAAAAGTTAAATTTATGGATTCTCTGGATGAATTGGATAAGGAAAAAGATGGTAGGCAGATTTTTTGAATAAAGTCTTGCCTCATTAAATATAACTCACAATACTAGATGTCCCTGGTTTAGGATGTTTTTTAAATTCGATGGACATTAAGCAGAGGAGCTTTCTAAGCGATACCTGTATTTAAAATAAATATGTTTCAGTAATAAGGGTATATTTATTTTATAGTTAGGTAGGTCAGTTAAAAAATAACAAACATTATTTTCTTTGGAATATTTTAAGTCCCTTTCATACATAATTTAATTTTTGTTTTATAATTAGAAGCAAACGATGATGTTCGTCTTCTTCGTCAAATTTTAAAATCTCGAAAGCAGCCAATACAACAATTCCGACATTTTAGTGTTGATCAAGATGGTCAAAGAATTGTTGATAGTGGAGTTAGAACAATACGTTCAAAAATCCATCAAAATCCCCCACAAAGTAAAGGGAGAAATCCAAAAGCTAGGCGGGCAACTTGTCCCGAAATTTGGTTAAGTGAAGCAGAAGATGAGGAAAGATTAACTATGAATTGCGCAGTTAGACTTTTTGGATGTAATTCTGTTGGGAAAAAATCAATTGCTAAACAGGCAGGATTATTTTAAAAAAATTTTAACGGAAATCCACACTTATTATAAGATATCCCCGTTAGAAATTGTACTGTATAATGATCATTTAAATTAAATAAGCAGTATCACTTAAACATCTCCCCCATCTAATACTGAGTTGTATTTACTTGGGGGTTTATCTTGTAGTGAGGTCTCTTTGTAAAATAGTCCATTCCTCAATAAGAACCCATCTATATAAATCCCCTGCGGAGAGAATTCCGAGACTTCTATTAAAATAATTCCAATCGTTTTCTAGCTTGCCTCAGCAGCAGAAGTATCCCCACAAGATGATGGAGTAATCGTTTCAACAGGCAACAAAAAAATATCTTTTTTATAATTTATTAAATATTTCTTTTAGATAATGAAGATGTTCAACGTCTTTATAGAACAGTTTCCTTTTTATTAAATGAACATGAAGTTAATATGCAAATTATTCAAGGATCATTGTTACCTCAAGTAAAATTTTTTAACATTTTAGTTATTATTTTTTTAATTATTTTTAGAGTCAAGAAAGGTTATCTGATTCAATTGAAGAATTTACTATATTGGCAGGTAAATATATTAGAATAAATTGAATGGTTATTTTAAGTTATGGAGTATATTTCCACGACTTTTTTCTCCAAAAATCAGATTTTTCTATCCTCCCAAGGAGAATATTTGAACGATAAAGCAAATATAGAGATATCATTAGATAAATCCAAAACTTGATAAAATTTGATTGGCTACTGGGTGGAGGAACAATTGAGGTGTCTAAGATACACCTCATTTTATAAAAATTTTACGACTATACTTTTGGGAACTCCTAATGGAAAATAGCTACAAACTTTTTTTAAAATTACTTAAAATATATTTATTTTTAGTTGTTTATTCTGTTGATAATAGGGAATCTTTTATTCGAGCAGCACAAATATTATATAGAATTTATGGTGATAGAAAAATAGCAAAAAGAGGAAATAAAAAGAAAATGAAAGAAAATATATTTTTGCCTCTTATTTTGGTTTTTATTTTTTTTAATTTTAAAAATTATTTTTAATTTACTAGATTGCTAACAAAAGTGATTTACAACGAAAAAGAAGAATTAGTTCAATTGGTTAAAAAATAAATATTTATATTAATTAAATAATTAATTTTATAGAAGGTAAAATGTTAGCAAAAATATATAAATGTCCATTTGTTGAAATGTCTGCACTTCTTTCTGCTAATGTAGATATTTTGTGGAATGAAGTAATTCGTAAACTTTACAAATATGAAAGGGTATTTTTGAAAAAAAAATAATTCTTTTTTTTTAAATTATTTTTTAAATTAATTAGATTGTTGACAATTTGATTGTGGAAAAACAACAAAATCAGCAAAAAGAGGTTAATCAAATTAATGAATTAACAACTGGGCTAACTCGACCACCGGTTAAATTTAGAAAAAAAGCGAGACAATTGGGGACGAAAAACAAAAAAATCGACACCTTTTAAGATAAATAATCCGTGGCTCTAATTTAATCCTATAGCCTATTAAACAATTAACATATTTTTGTGATGGGGTAATCATTAGTGCCAATTTTTCCGTTTGAAATTGTCTCATTCGCAATTGACGCAACGCCAAAAAAAATGAAAGCTTTTCAAAAAAATTTTTTAAAATATCTTTTAAGTTGGTTGGAAGAATAGTAGAAAGAACTAGACGTTTTGCAAAATCTTGTGAAGATTGGATTACAACTAAAATTGTAGCTATTTAAAGAAATCTCTCAATCACTTGACTTTGATTGTGATCCCCTTTATTTTTTTTGATTAAATTGTTTGCAAATTGAAAATGTTTTTATTAACTTACAATTAGAATGACACTTCTAAAATGGACAATTTTTGCGGAATTTTAAATTAACTGGGAAACAATGAAAAATTTTTACGTGAATGGCTACAATTGTGGTGGAAAGAAATCCGCAAAAATTGTTCATAGAAAATAAGTGCAAAATAATTTTTAAATATTCTCAACATTTTTAAAAATATAATTGTTCAAATACTTGTCATTTAATCATCATCCAAGTCACACATAGCTCCTCCATCATCGTCAAAAACACAAACAGCCCCAACCCCCTCTTCATGGCAAAGACGAGGCCAGTGTTCACGCTTCATTTGCTTCAGAATTATTTCAACTTTCTTCTCGCTAACCAATACCTGAAAAAATTAAAATTTAATAAATAAAAAATAGGCTCTGGGAAGAACTTCTCAAAATACAAAATTTAAATAGACATACCAAACTCTCAGCAGGCAATATTTCCGCATACAAGTCAAAGTGCCTAACAGTCTCCTTCAACCCAAAACCATATGCAATAACAACATCAAGTGTAAGACCATCACTTTCAACACGCGTTCCTTGAGGTACAGTAGAGCGAGAAAAAATGCTTAAATGCACATGGCCTCCACGATAAAACCAATCATGTCGAATATTTTCATCAACACGTTGACGCTAAAAATATTTTTTAAAAATTGGAATCTTGAACTTTAATGGCCTACTCTTCGTTATTTTCCCTTATTTTTTAACTCTGACATAAGTCAATGAGGGGATAGTTGTTCGGGGCATCCACAGGTCTTTTTGTCACCCAAAAAATTAATCACTTTTAATTAATCTAGAATGTAGAACAAGGGAAAATAAGGAAATGTTTATTAAAAAACCAACAATAATCCATCGATGAGAGCCTTTAGTACATCCAAGTAAATTTGTTGTTTTACGCCCACAACAAGTCCAATATTGTTGATGATTATGCAACTGTTGATATTGAGTTGCGCTATTATTCGAAACGATAGCGGCGGTAGAGTTTGGGTCACGAGAAGCTGGTAATCCTCGGTGATGAATACAAATCGAATTAAAAGTATTTTTGTCATTGCAAACCTTAAAATTTAAAAAAAAAGGAAAAATTAAAATTTTTTGGATTTTTTAAAATTTTTCAAGTCGGACCCTATTACGAGCATTTTCTTTTTCCCCGTTTCTCAAAAGGACTACACAAATATAATTAAATTGTTTTTAATTTTTACCGCAGTACATCCATTATTTTTACAAACGGCCCCAATGAGATTTTCGAAATCCTTTTCATTTTGACGGTCAGGAAATTTATTTGAAGAATATTGACGTCTTTCTAGAACTTTTTGAGCGGCCTAAAAGAAAAAAATAAATTAATTTTATAATATAATAATCAATTACAGAATTAATAAAAAGTGGAATTAACATTGTCCTTCGCTTAGTTGTTGTTGTCTTTTCAGAGGGTTTAGGCATTTTATGGAAATTTTGAGGAGCAAATCTTTTATTATACATAGTAGAACGAATTAGAAAGTCAAAAGGTAATCTTAAAATTAAAAAATAAGGATTAAAATATAAAGTCAACAAAAGTGTCTCTGCCATTGGCAGAGATTGGCCGGTAGGTAAAATCGCATTCATGGGATCCCGTAACGGGATTTTTTTCAAAAATTTTTGCGAGACAGGATCCCGGGGGATTAATCCCGTAAATCGCGATAATCCCGTTCGTTGCTTAAAATACGGGATTTCGGGACAGGACCCCGTAAAATCCGGTTCGGGATCCTGTCCCGTGCCGACCTCTAATTGGCCGTACTTTAAAATTCCACATTTTTGGCGTAATGATTTTTGAACAAAACGGCCAATAATGTGCCACCTCCAGCCAATTTAATTTATTATTCAATCTTATGTATTAATAAAATTTCTTAATTTAAGATATACTAACTAATCAATGTCTGATTATAAGGAATTCTTCGAAATTGCACGTCTTTTTGTGGATTATATGGAAGCCGATAGTCATTGTAATAAACAAAGACGTTTTTTGCAGGTATTTTAAATACAAAAAAATTAAAAAAAATTTTTAAGGAAGGAAACAAAACTTCTGTGATATTTAGTGATGTAACTCATTTTTTTGAAAATTATTCAAAAAATTATTTTTTCGAAAATACTTCAAAAGAAGAGAGGAACTGTTTGGCTTATTTACTTTTTGCTTGTTTAAGAGAGTTTTTTATTTCAATTTTTGACGTTAGTTATGATAGAAATGATGGTGATTTACTAATTCGATTGAAAAATGAGCCACTTTTGGATGAGATTATGGTGGGTAGAATTTAATTAATTTTTATATTCAAACAGTTTTGTAAAAATATGTGGTGAATCATGGGAAATATTTGAAATGCAAAAATTAATTTTTGTATGTATTAAAAGTTATTATTTGGATTTGGAATAGTTAATATACATAGTAGGCCCTCACAATATTCCCCAATAAGGATGGCGGTTCCTGGGAAATCTCCGGATATCCGGAACCGGTATCCGAACCGAAAATTTTCGGATATCCGACAGGGGCGTAGCCACGGGGGCTGAAGCCCCCCCCCCCCCCGAAATGGGAGAAAGCGGCCCTTAATATCCGAGGTTTTTTGGTTCCGGATACACGGCACCGCCAACCTTACTTCCCAATATTAGATAATATCAATTTAAGTCATGTTTTTTGGACTAATTAGCTTTCCTAAATGGACTAATTATACACAAATTACTATATAACTTCTTTTTTATAGACAACACTTTTCATTAAAAAATATAATTATATTATTGACCAAAAATTGCGAGAAGAATTTGAAAAGGCAATAACTCCATTAACTTCGCCTAGTGGAAGTCCTAAAAATTTGGCTTTAATGTGTAATGGAGATAAATGTGGAAAGAAGAAAATTAATGGACATTTAAATAAAACAAAAATTATTCCGAATGATATTGAAAAACTTTTTGAGGAATCTGTCCATTTTCAATGAGTTTCACAAAATTATTTTTTAAATTTGAAATGTTGCAATTATTTTATTTTTATAATAAAAAATAATAAAAAATTAATACGATTATTTAGATGCAACTTTTATTATCTTATTTATTTAAATATAAACGAGCAGGATGGGAATTTTAACGAATTTTCTGCTTTTTTATATGTAAAAGAAATTTCTATAACAAAAATTTACTAGTTAAAAAAGCAGAAAATTTAATTTAAAAACAAACAAAAATTAACAATTTTTAAATATTTTTTGGAGGATTTTTCTCTTTCTCTCTCGCCTTCTTAATTTTAACCACGTCGACTGAATTTTAAAAAGCCCAATTCTTTTATTGCCTTGTATTGATCGGGAATCTGAATTGAAAAAAAAAAGAATTTTTTTTGTAGAAATGTAATTCCTATCAACCTCCATTAATGCATTCAGAGCAAAGGATGCCTCTGGATTAGGGGCATTGAACATTACCTAAATAATTTTAATAGGAAAATATGTAGTACTTTTAATTATGCAGGGAAGGAACAAAAATATCCGCAAGTCAGAAAGTTACCTCCCACACGCGATTTTTGAAATATTTTTTGGCAGATTAACTTTTCAATTAAAGATTCAATTTCTTCAAAAGAAAAATCAACTATTTTTACATATCACCAATTTTTAGATTTTTTATATCTTTAGAATAATCGGCTACCCTACAACTCATCGAATCCTTAACTCATCGAATCCTCAACTCATCGAATCGGCCAAAAACACTCAACTCATCGAATCCTTAACTCATCGAATCCTCAACTCATCGAATCGGCCAAAAACGATCAACTCATCGAATTTTTCCAAAAGGGGACGTTTGAGTCCCCGTGTTTATTTTTTAGATTTTTTATTGTTTTGTTTATTTTTTTTGTTTTCTTCTGGGTTTTCAACTAATTTTGTTAATTAGTTGATCGGGCACTCATCTAAGTTTATCCGGCCAGTGAAAACATTATCAGAACATTATCTCATTCCTGAAAACATTATCTCATTCCTAATAAATTATGCTGGAGATTTTACCGGGTAAAACCGGACCAAATTAGTCCAGTAGACCCCGATTATGCCCAAAAGCCCTTTTTCCTAGCCTCCATAGCAGCAAAAAATTTTAACAACGAAGATTCAGTTAGCCCTTTCGGGAGAAAAATAAAAACAGGGGACTCAAACGTCCCTTTTTGGAAAAATTCGATGAGTTGAGCGTTTTTGGCCGATTCGATGAGTTGAGGATTCGATGAGTTAAGGATTCGATGAGTTGAGTGTTTTTGGCCGATTCGATGAGTTAAGGAATTTTAGCCGATTCGATGAGTTGAGCGTTTTTGGTCGATTCGATGAGTTAAGGATTCGATGAGTTGAGCGGGCACGGAATAATCTCTTTTCTCTCCTTTATATTTAAAAAGGTTTATTTTCTTGTTATTATTCTCCATTAATTCTGACTTGCAAATAAAAAGTTTCGGGTTTAATCGGTATTTAAAATAATAAAAATTAAGTATTTAAAAATACTTTATGGAAGTCAACAAAATGGAAATTGTCGAAGAGACGTTTTGGAAGTGTTTCATCAAAACGCGTCATCATATCCCAAGGTCCATCTCCAACACCAACCCTTTTTAATTAGAAAAATAAATTTAAAAATTAATTTTATAATTTTACATAATAATGGAGAGAGGGTAACGTGATGCTTGGGCAATTGCCTTTTGATTGATTTTCTCGTTGGTAACCTTAAATTAGGAATTTTTAAAGATTTTTTGCATACTAGCAGTCAAAGAGAGATTTAATTTTTTTATTTGAAGGAAGAAAAAGTTCCAATTAAAAAATTATTTTTTACTTGTCCATCAGCAACAATAACCAAAATATGGTAAGAATGTTTTTCTTCACAAATTTCAATTGCCCTTTCAATTAATGGGACAAAATTAGTAGGTCCACTCATTGAAATACTAGGCATTCTTTCATTGTAAACACGCAATACTTCTTTAAATTAAATTTTCTTTTTAATTTTTTACTTAACAAAATTGCCTTCAAATCCCAAACAGGAGGCATCAATATCATCACGATCTACCAAATTAAAACAACTTTGGTCAGTTGTCTCCTCATCTCCAAATCCATAAACTGGAATTAACCCATCAGCATCAAAAGAAAAAAGTGTTTTCCCAACAATTTGTATTACCTTTTATTTTTTAATTAAAAAAATTTTTTTTTGGGAAAAAACTTGTTGGTAAGGATTTAATTCTTGCCCTCCATATTCTTCTAGATAATGTAAAGATTTTCCATCGAATGTCCTTTCTCCTTGGTAATAATTAGATCTTGTATAGTCAATTCCAAAAATTAAGTTGGAATATTCTAGACCAGCCTTAAATAATTTTATTTTTAATTTTTAGTGAGAGAGGGGAGGGGATTTAGACAATATCAAGAACTAGGATAAAACTTCAACACTCTTAACACTTTTGAAGACTTTTCCTCTTATTTCTTTCGATTTATTTTTCCCAATGAGACAATAGGAAAAGTCCTCCGCTTTTCATTTTTCTGTGTTTTCTTTTTTTACTTCAAAGTTTACTTAAAACTTTAATTAAATTAAAGACCTCCTTCATTGCATCAATTATATCCTGAAGTGTTTTAAATCGAGGTAAATTATGTGGGCTTCCAATATTTAATGCCATAAGTAAAGAATTTCGACGTACTGGGGCACTAAATAATTAAAAAAAATTTTTTTTTGATTTTTAATTTTAAAAATTAACAAAGATGGTGCTTCATTTTGCCTTAATTCATATTTCTCTCTCTGACGGCGTTTTTCTCTTTTCATTGGCTTTTTAATTATTGCCTGCTTTCCTAAAGCCAAATCCTTTAAATATATTTTAATTAATTATTTAAATTAAAAAAACATACTTCAGCGCTTAGTAAGTCCATCTTTTCAGTTACTTCAGCTGCAAAACTAACCCTAAAAATTAAATAATATTTTAAATTTCTTATTTCCGATGGGAAAGTTTAAAAAGGATAATTAATTTATCCGTAAGTATTAATATACAGCAGATTAACCAACAACCAAGAGACGTTGAAAGTAGTCAAATAAAATAATTTTTTATGTACAGAATTCGAACATTTTCTAAAGTTTTTCCTAATCAAACTAAAATGATTTCTTCTTTGGGTCATCGCGTACTACCATAGATTGGGAGGGGTGGAGGTTTAATCTGCTTTCCTATAAGTAATTATTTAGTTTATTTAATACCTCTTTTCTCTTGATTCACAACGTTCCCGACTTGCACTCTTTTCGCGCATTACATTACCATAAGCACGTCGAACCCTCGCCCAATCATGGCCTTGTTCTCCTTCAAATAAAGCAGCTTCTTCCTGACCCCATCCTTCCTCGCCTTCTTCACCTCTTTATTTTTTAAAATAAATTTTAAATTGTACTAAAACAATAATAATTTTACGGAATATGAATGAAGAAAATTGTTTTGGTATACAAAATTAAGTATTCCCCATTATATTAAGAAAATATTCAAAAAATATTCCTTCACCTTCCTTCCACCATTGGACGTTGGCCTTCTTTTGCTTTTTGTACATTTCCATATCCACGTCTCAATCGGGCCCAATCATGACCTTCCTCTCCTTCAAACAATGCAGCTTCATCAAATGCTGCTTCTTCCCCTTCCTCACCCCTTTAAGGTAAAAAAAGTTTTTTTTTGAAATTTTTCTTTAAAATATTTTTTACTTTCTTTCCAATCTTTGCCTTTCTTTTTCTTTCTGTACATTGCCATAACCTCTTCTCAGACGTACCCAATCATGCCCTTCTTCTCCCTCAAACAATGCAGCTTCTTCTTCTAATGGAACTTCTTCTCCTTCTTCTCCTCTTTAAATTTTAAATATTTTTTTTTTGAAATATCTAAAACTTTCTTTACCTTCCTAATTTCTGTCTCTCCTTTTCACGCTGAACATTTCCATAACCGCGTCTTAATCGAGCCCAATCATGCCCTTCTCCTTCACCTTCAAGAATTGCAGCCTCCTCTTCAGGAGGAACTTCGCCAATTTCGGGTCTAAAATTTGAGTGGATTTCCATAGTTAAATTTTTTAAAAATCACTTTATAATTGGTTTAATCTTTTCTTGGACTCGAGCTTTTTCAATCATTGCATTTCCATAGCCTCGTCTCAGACGTGCCCAATCATGACCTTCCTCTCCTTCAAAAAGTGCAGCTTCTTCTTCACCCCAGCCTTCTTCTCCTTCTTCACCTCTAAAATAGATCTCGGTATAATCTTTTTCTATAACATTCATCTAACCTTTTCTCGATCGGTGGACGTTCTTTAGCTTTTTGAACATTTCCATATCCACGTCTCAACCGTGCCCAGTCATGACCCTTTTCTGCTTCTATTAATTCAGCAGCTTCACAAACATGTTCAACAGGCTTCTCCAAACGAGGTTCTCGTAGAGATAATTCAGCAAATAGGTTCACATCTCGTTTGGCAGATTCTAGAAGACATTCCAATTGTAAAATGACTTCGGAATGCACAGCATTCAACGTAAAAGGACCAAGCAATTGAATAGCAGGTAGGATATATTGCACATCAAACGGTTGTTCTTCGCCGCGGGAAAGCGCAGCGCCAATGTGGATTTGTTCAGAACCAGCCTAATTTTTTAATAATTTTTGAATGGGAAAATGGGAGAGAGAAAGCATAAGTACCTGTGTTGTATCAAATCTTTCCTCTGTTTTTCTTTTATCTTCTTTAATTAATTCAGCACCTCCCAAAAATTCTTCACGTTTCAATTGAACTTCTATTTGTGAATGCCATTCTTCCATTTGTCTTGATCTCAACTCAACTTTCTCGTCTTCACGTAAATAAACACGAATAATATGAAGAGGAGCCTCTTCCTCTTGACTAATCTTATTTAACGTGAAGAATCTTTCACCAGTATCCATCTTACCAGCTGCGGCACAGTTTAATGTGTATTGACCTCCGAAACGGGGTTCTCGTTTTATTAATTCTGCTTCTAATCCAATATGTTGAGGTTTTTGCAAAACAATATTTGACCCTAATTGTTGTTGACCTGCTTCCTTTGCTTTAAATATTTGTGGTTCTATTCTATTAATATCTCGAAGAATTAATTGTGTGGAAAGCTCAGGGGATTTTGGCTTTTCCAGAAGTTGTTGATATTCAACATTAGCATCTCCAGCTTTTGAACATAATAATGATACAGGTTCTCCTGTTCTTGGAATGATAATTTTCTTTTCTGGTGCACCCTCTGCTGATTCTGGGCGTAGCCAATCAAGCAAAGGCACTTCCACATTCTTCTCAATACTTGCCTTGGTTGCGTGAAGGAACTGCCCACCATATCTTGGTTCCCATCTTGTATGATCCGGAGCCTGTACCCATTGATCTGGACGCCTAAGCTGGACATTATTAAGCTGTTCAACTTCTCTACTTTCTGTTACATGAACAGATGGAGTTGGACCTTCCAAAATTCGAGAAGATTTTAATTTAAAAGGTAATGCTGAAGCAGATGGTTCTAAACGCTGCAGGGCTGTTGTTGTTGAAATTGTTGTTTCTGAACTTGATTTTGTATTATGAACAGCAGGTTCTGCTCTTCTTTCCAACGGACGTTCACATTCAGCATCAAGTTTTGTCACAATAGGATTTTCCAATTGTTTGTACAATGCAATATGGGCATCTCCAGCAGCAAGTACATGTTTTGTGTGAGTTCCACCAAATAGAGAATCCGGCAACACAACTGGAATTTCCAAAATTTGATCATTTTTGTGCCATTGTGTATTTATGTGCTCTTGCTCAGTGCCTGCTTGGTGTGAGTGCAATGGTGCAAGTGAGGGACCGGAGCGCGCAATTGGCAAAGTGATCAATGCTTCCATTTCCGCTGGCGGGGCAGAGCGCATTTCTTGTGCCAAAAAGAGCGTTTCTATTTTTGAGGCCAAACTTCGATATTGAGGTTGAGGCCCAACAAGTGTTTGAGGAACAAAAATAATTTTTTCTGAGCTCAATTGTCTTGGACTTTCATCTTTTAGATTAACATCAACAATTGTAGAAATATCTCCAGCCCTCCTAGTATTTTGAATATATTGTCCGCCAAAGAGTGGTTCCCAAACAGTATGATGTGCTTCTTCTGCTTGTTCATCTTTCAAATAAACAGAGCTTAACATAATTGAATGAGCTTGACTTTCTGGAACACGGAATGGTTCTGGCTTTTCTTCTCTTGCACAAATTTTAATTAAAGGCGGTGCTCTTTCAAATTCTGAAGTTTTACTTAAAGCACTATTTAATTGTTGCTGTTCTTTAGAACTTGCTTTGCTGCCTAGAATTAACGGTTCTGTCAAGCGTGCAATCCAAAGCACTAATTCTGTTGTTAAATCATCGGGCAAAGGCTTTTTCTTTGTAATTATTTCTTCTTTGGAATATTCTTCTTTACCTACAGCTTTAGTCCCAAGTATTTCTTTGTTAATACGTGGTTCCCATTTTGTGAAAAATGTTTGAGCAGAGGATGGTAGTTTTGAATATTGAAAGTGAATATTTTCCTCTCTTTCCTTTGCTTCTTTTGTTTTAAGTACATTCTCAGGTCCCCAATTTGGCCAAAAACGAGTAAATGTTGTTTCCTCCTTTACTTGTTCACGACACCAACTCTGAGACAAATTGTATTGTTCATGTTTTGGTTCGTTTAAACGCGCTTGAACAGGAGCCAACTCCCTTGCACAACGAATGCAACGAAGAGCCGGAGCTGGAGAGGCATCCCGTTGTTTTTGTAGTTGAAAGTGTTGTATGGCATTAATAAGTCCAGTTGCTTTAGAATGAAGAAATACACGGCCACCAAAGGCAGGAATGTGTCGAAGAATTTCTGAATTTTCTATATTATCAGGTTGTTTCCATTGACATGTTATGCTTTCTTCAATTATTGAGGATTCGCGCAATTCACTTTGAGCGCTCAAATGCGGGCGTACCAAATATTTAAATGTTGGCGCCGCCTCAGCAACAATTTGGCGCTGTAATGTTATTTGTATTTGTTGCTCAAACGCCTCCGCCTCGCGCATTTTCATTTCTACCCCAGGAAGTTTATTTGTTTCCCAAATTGTTAGGGAAGTGTGTGCTACCCTCAAATGGTCACTTTCCAATTCTCGAAGAAGTGTTAAATATTCATCACTTGCTGCTTCTGTTCTTAATTTTATTTGGCCTCCAAATTGTGATATCGGCCAAATTCTTTCACTTTCCTTTATTTGTAATAATTTATTATATTCCAAACAAATATTTGTTTTTAAATCTTTTGCTTCTTTTGTTTTTAATTTATTTTCTTGTCCAATGTTTGGAATAATAAATGTTTTTGTTATCCTTTCATTTTGTTCTAATTTTTGTTTTGATTCTAAAACAACCAAATTCTCTTCTGTAGAAGCTTTTGTTTGTTTAATTATTGATGGATGTTTATTTGGTATTTTAATTAAAATTTCTTTTTTATCAAATTCTTCATCCCTTTTTAATTCTCTAATTATTGTCAATTCAATTAATTCACTAGCTTCTGTATTTAAATTAATTCCAGAAATAATTAAAGGAATATTTATTTTTAATTCAATTTTTTCTTCATTAATAGTCACTTTAGGCTTTAATTCATAATTAATTAAAAATTCTTCTTTTGTCGATTCTTTTATTTTAAAAATTTCTGGCAAAATTTCACGTGCCCATTTTCTTTTTATTGCAACTCCAAATGTTTCTGAAGCTTTTTGTAATGAATAAAAGCTTGCTTTTTCTTCTTTTCCACTCTCCAACATTCTCATATTCCTCTCTTCTTTTGTAATATATTTTAATTTTTTTAATAATTTTTCGAAGGCTGGCAATTTATTTAAAGACAAACTTGTTTGCCATTCTTCTTTTTTTGTTGCTTTTGTATTTAAAATATAATTTCCCCCAAATCTTTTTTCTTCCAAAATTTTTTCTGGAATTGGAAAATATTTTCCATTTTTGTCAAAAACATAAGCTATTTGTGTCTGTTCATCCCCAGCTTCTTTTAATTTTTTAATTAATTTTTCTCCCTTAAAGGCTATCCAATTAATTTTCTCAATTAATTCTTTCTTTTCTTCTTTTTTCCACTCTTGACAAATTATTTTTTGTTCATCCCCAGCAGATTTTGTTTTCATTATTTGAAACTCTTTTAAATATATCGGTATATCTATTTTTGTATCCAATTCTTTAATTATTTTCTTCTGTAATTGTGTATATAAACAAACTTCTTCCTCTTCAAATTCTTCAATTTTAAAGGAAATTGGCCCAAAAATATTTGGCAAAGGTAAAATTCTCTGAACACTTTCAGTTGACAACAATCTTGCTTGGAGACCAAAATTTAATTTTACTTCTTCTAATTGTGCCTCTCCAACTTTTAAATTAATTGCTTCTTTTCTACCAATTTTAATTGTTTTAAATATTCTTTCAAATTGAAATGAACGTGAAATACAAAATTGTGAAATTAAATTTTCAGAGTGTGCAATTAAATAAATTGGGGGGATTTTAATTGTTGTTTTGTCTTTTAAATATAATTCTGCTTTAGAAAAATCTTTTTTTGAAGTTAAACTTTGAAAATCAACAAAAACATTAATTAAACGTTCACTCATTTCTTTAATTTTTTGTTTTAAATTTTCTTCTCTAAATATTTTAATTATTTTTTGTGTAAAAACATCTTCTTTTCCTTCTTTTACAAAATATTTCTCGATACTCAGAGGACTTTGAATTTTAAAATTTCTTTCAATTTTTTCTTCTCTTTTTAATTTCAAAGTCCATTCCAACTTTAATTCTTCTTCTGTTCTTTCCCATTTTTCTTCTAAATTTAAAATTTCTTCACAAATTTCTTTTGTTAACAAATTATTAAATTTATTTAAAGGAATTTTAATTTCTCTTTCTGTTTCTAAATCTCTTTCAACAATTTTATATTCAGCAATTAATGTTTCTTCTTCTTCTTTAGATTCTTTTGTTTTTAATTTTTCTTCACTTTTTCTGGCTGTTTTTATTTTTAATTCTGTTTTTTCCCAGTCTAAAGGTTTTTGTAATGTTTCTGTTCTGATTTTTAATTCTTCTTTTGAATATTCTGTTTTTAATAAAGTTGAAAGTAATTGGGAAGTTGGAAATTTCTTTTGAATAGAAAAACTTGGTTGTAATGATTGCCATTGAATTGACTGTGTTATTTGTGTTTGTTGAGAATTTAAAGTATTTAATTGTTGTTTTTCTATTTTATTTTGAATATTAATTAAATGTTGGGCAGAATAAAGCCTTTTTAACATTGGAATTTTAACTAAAAGAATTGAAGTTGTTTTTGTTTCTTTTCCAAATTCTTTTAAATTAATTGAGGGAATTGTTAATTCTTTTTGTTTTTCTGGAAGAATTTTTAAAATAAATTCTTCTTTCCCTTCTTTTTCTCCAATTAAATTACTTTGAATTTTGCTTTGTTCAATATTAAATTTTCTTTTAATTTCTTCTTTTTCTTTCAAAGATTTGACTGTTTTTGTAGAAATTTCTGGAGAAGAAAGTTCAAAAACAGCAGAACCAAAAGTTTTTAGATCACTTGCCGCTTTTGTTTTTATCCATTCTTTTGCCTTTTCTTTTTCTTCTAAATTAGCCCAAGTCCATAATTGAGTATCCACAAAGCTAATATCCATTAAAAGATTATTTTCTTCTTTTAAATATTCTCTAAACCATACTTTTATTTCTTCTAAAGGTTTCTCCTTTAATAATTTAAATGTTTCTTCTTTGCCAATTTTTGTATTAAATAATTGGCATTCTGTTTGGATATTTTCTTTTTTGCTTGAATTTAATTTAAATTTAATTATTTGTTCTAAATTAGCTTTTTTAATTATTTTTTTTTCTTCTTTCTCCTCTTTTCTTAAATAATTTAATTGAATATTTAATTCTTCTGTTTTAACAGCTTTTGTTTTAAATAAATCTTTCCATTCTCTTTTTAATAAAATTATTTTTTCTTTTTCTTCTAAACGTTCACTAATTCCCGTTACTTTACAAAGAAAGGATATTTCTTCTTCTCCCTTCTCTTTTAATTTATCACAAATTATCGGCCCTTCTAAACGAGAATAATCAAAAATTCTTTCAATCCAAATTCCCGGTTGTTCTTTCATTTGAATTTCGTGTTGGGAAGAACTTTTCTCAATTTTAAAATTTCTCGACTCTGTGGGCGTGCCTATAGGCGTTTTTCTTGTTAAATAAACTTTTTCTGTTTCTCCAAGTTTTTGTAATTGTTGGGATTGTTTTAATAAATGTTCTTCTGAAGCTTTTGTTTTTAATTCTTTAAATTCTTCTTCCCCGATAGAAAATGTTTTTCCAATTGTTTCTTTATCTTCTAAAGTATCTAATTGAGCAAATAATTGTCTTTCTTGTTCTTTAATTTCTTTTAAATCTTTTTTAATAATTTCTTTTTTTAAATCCTTCAATGTTTCTTTAATTTCCAATTCTTTTTGTTTTACTTCGAATTTTTGATTAATTTCTAAATCTTCTTTTTTGGGTATTTCTGTTGTTAAAATATCTTTTTCTTTTGTTAAATCCTTTTTAATTATTTGGGTACTTTCAATTAATTCTTTTGCCCCAAACATTTTTATTTCAGTTTCTTTTTCTTCCTTTTTAGCCTCTTTTGTAATTAAATTCTCTTTCAATAAACTTTTCTCGGCTATTTTCTTTTCTGATATTTCTTCTTTAATTGCCTCTGTTTGTTTCTCCCAATGGATTGCTGTAGTCTGTTCGGCACTTTCGATTTTATATTCTCCTAAATTAGATGCTGGATCAGTTGATAGATAGAGGAAAACCAGAAAATATATTTGGCCCCAAAAATTAATTGAAAAAAAATAAAAAGCGTGAAAGGAAAAAATAAAGTGTAGTAATTTTGCAGATAAAAGGAATTTCAGTCTATTTCATAACTAAACCTTAGGATAAATTAAGTCTTAATATGCTTGCTAGGGTTGTCCAGACTTTCATGGCATTTTAGGAAAAATTTTTAAATCAACACATGCTTCCTTCCTATCTAAGACCAAACGGCCTGCCCTATTATTCACGACGGAATCTAATTTTTAGTTTAAGTGATTGTGCAATTGTAAGAAACTGTAAGTGATTTTTAAAGCATTCGTGCTTTAGTGCAAAATTTGTGCATACATTAAATTTATTTTTAGTGATGACTTTTAATTTTTTATCTAATTTTAATGCCGCATTTTTTGCTTTATTTTTTGCCAATTTTTGGGAGCCAAATATATATTTCTGGGTTTTTATTTCAAAATATTATTCCTAAATAGTAACCCCTTTTGGGAGCCTCAGTCGCCGCTTCAGCCGCCAATCTCTGTATCGCCGTCAAAACCCCACTAGCTTTCGCCTCTTCCCCAATAGCTTCTGCTACAGCTTCAATTTCCATTCTTTCATCCCTAGCTGCCCCAGTACTTAAAATTGTAGATATCCCTTCCTCTCTTTTCTTCTGTTTAATTTCTTTTTCAATTTTTTCTTCAAATAATTTTTTATTTTCAAAATTTTTAATAATTAATATATTTTCTTCTTCCTCCTCCTTAATTTTTATATTTATTTTTTCTTCCCCAATTTCTTTTAATTTAATATTTTCTTTTTTAATTTCTTCTTCTTTTATTAAATTTTTAATTATTTCCTTTTCTTCAAATTTAGATTCTTCAATTTTTGTTGATAATATTTCTGTTTTATTTATTTCTTTTTCTTTCTTTTCTATCTGAAAACTTTTTGGTTGTTGAATTACATCAAAACCTAAAACAACTTCTTTTCCTTTTTCTTCCTTCTTTTCTTCAATTTGTTGTTGTTGTTGTTCTAACCACTTTCCAACTTTAAATTCAATATCAGTTTTAGCTTCTTTAATTAATTTTTGTTTTCTTTCTATAGCTACCCCAGTATTTAATTCTTCAAATAAAAATTCTCTTAAACTACAAAATGTTTTAGTTAAAGGAATTTCTTTCAAATAAAAAATATCAGTCTCCACACTTTTTGCCCTTTTCTCAATTTTTTCTGTTTTATTTAATTCTTCAATTTTAAATGTTTTTTCGATAGGTAAAAATTGTTTTAATTTTGAAGTAAAATTTGCAATAGATTCTTCTAATTGTTTTTGTTTAATTATTGAAGTTGTTATTTCTTTTGGAGATTTTATATTTAAATTTTCTTTTAATTGTTGTTTTTCTTCTTTAAATTTGATAAATTCTTTTTCTTCTTTTTCCTCGTCCTTTATTTCTAAAAATACAAATGATGAAGCTCTAGTTTCGCTAAATTCTTTAATTTTAAATTCTACAAAAGTTTCACTTTTCGATTTTTGTAAAAGTTTGGTACTTTCCCATTCCTCTTTTCCTATTAGATTTGCAGAAAATTCTTTTTTCTCATAAATTGAAGATTTTGAAAATAAAAAGGCTTTTTCATGTAATTTTTCCTTTAAATTTAAATCAGCTTTTTCTTCAGAATTTAAATGTTCAAAAATTATTTGACTTTGAATTTTATTGTCTCCAGCTGATTTTGTTTTTATTTTTTCTTCCAATTGTCTTTTCTCTTTAATTTTAATTTCAAATTCTCCCCAAGTTTTCGGTCTCTGATCAAAAAATACAACAGAGCTTGCCCTCTCTTCACTAAATTCTCTCCCAATAAATTTAATTGAAGACTGACTTGCTGATTTAATTATCTTCCTATCACTTTCCCACTCTTCTTTTCCTTGTAAATTTGCTTGGAAATCTTTAATTTCTTGAGTTGAGGGTTTAGATTTTAATATAGACTTCTTTTTTATTTTTTCTTTTAGAGTAAATCCAATAATTTCTGTTTTACTCTTTTGTTCAAAATAAATATTTTGTCCAATTTTTAAATCCCCCATTTCTTTTGTATTTAATTTTTCTTTAATTTTGTATTTTTCTTTTAATTTTATTTCTGATTCTTCCAAGTATTCCTTCGGTTTTTCTATAAACAAAACAGAAGATGCTCGAGATTCAATAAATTCTTTTAATTTTAATGTTACTGAAGACAAACTTTTTGATTTTTGAATTTTTCTAGTACTTTCCCATTCCTCTTTTCCTACAAAATTGGCTGAAAATTCTTTTATTTCTTGGATTGAGGCTTTTGATGAAAGGAAGGTTTTTTCTTGTAATTTTTCCTTTAAATTCTTATAAGCTTTCTCTTCACAGTTTAGTTTTTCTAGAATTATTTGACTTTCAATTTTGAAATCTCCAACTGATTTTGTGTTGATTTTTTCTTCTAATTGTCGCTTCTCTTTTATTTTAAACTCTAACTCTTCAGAATCTCTCGTTCTTTGATTAATAGAAATAACTGAATCAGATCTCGTTTCAACAAATTCCCTTACTTTGAAAATAACTGATGATAAACTGGCTGATTTTTGAAGCTTTCTGGTACTTTCCCATTCTTCTTTTCCTATTAAATTGGCAGAAAATTCTTTTTCCTCATGAAGTGAGGCCTTTGAATACAAAAGGGCTTTTTCTTGTAATTTTTCCTTTAATTTTAAGTCTGCCTTCTCCTGGACATCTAACTGTTCAAAAATCATTTGACCTTCAATTTTAAAATCTCCAGCTGATTTTGTCTTTATTCTTTCTTCCAATTGTCTTTTCTCTTTAATTTTAATTTCAATTTCTTCAAAATATTTTTGCTTCTGATCAATTGATATCGAAGAAATTGCCCTCTCTTCACTAAATTCTCTGCCACTAAATTTAATTGAAGATTGACTTGCTGATTTAATTATTTTATTGGCATCCTCTCCTTCCTCTCTTCCGGTAATTGTTGTCTCGATAATTCTTTTATCTTCAATAGAAGCTTTAGACTTCAATTCAACTTTTTCCTCATTTTTTTCTTCTAATTTTGTATTTATTTCTTCAAAATCCTTTTCTTTTGATGTTAATCCAATTGTTTTTGTAGCCTCTTCTAAACCAAATTCTTTCAATTTTTTGCCTTCAAATATTTTTATTTTTTCTTTTAATATTTTTTCCGCTTCATTCCTTTGTTCAGCTTCTACAAAAATATTTTCTCTTCCAATTTCTTCAATTTCTGAAGAAACACTTTTTATAGGGGCAATAAATACTTTTTCTATTTTTTCTTTTTCGCTAGCTTTAATTAAAATCCCCACGGTCTCTTCTCCCTCTTTCAATAAAGAAATATTCCAAATTGTATTAATTTCATTAATTAACCCTATTTTATTTTTGTAATTTTTTGTTTCTTCACAAATTAATTCAGCTTTTTGTTTTTCTTGTATTTTATCAAGAATTTTAATTTCTGCTGCTGATTTTTCTTTTTCTACAGAATTTAATTGCAAAATTAACTGGGTTTGTTCTTTTCCAAATTCTTTACTTTGGAAGTTTGTAGAATTTTGATTTGGGGATTTTATTAAATTTTGAGCATTTTCTAAGGCTTCTCTACTTGTTGATAAATTAATAAAAGATTGTTTTAATTCAAAAGTTGGGGCTTTTAATTTTTTACTTATTTTGTCAATACAAACTTCTTTAAATAATTTGCCTATTTCTCTTCCCTTTTCATTTTTTTGGTTTAAATTTAATTGTCTTTGAATTATTTTAATATTTTCAACAGATTTAATATTTTCTTTAAATTTTATTTCAATTTCTTTTAAATATTCTGTTGGGTGTGTAAGGGATATAATTGAACTTGCTCTCTCTTCAATTGTTTCTTTTGTTGTAAATTTAATTGTTGATAAACTGGATGATTTTTGTAGTTTTCCAGTACTTTCCAAAACTTGTTTACCTTCAAAATTTAACCAAAACTCTTTTTTCTCCTCAATTGAAGCTTTAGATGATAAACAAGTTTTTTCTTTAGGGGTTTCTTTTATCATTAAAACAGATCTTCCCTCGTCTTTTGGTTTTTCTAAAATTATTTGGCTTTGAAGTTTATCTTCACTAGCCGATTTTATTTTGAGTTTGTCTTGTATTTGCCGTTTCTCATCAAATTTTATCTCTATCCCTTCTCTATTTTTAGATATTTGTTCAAGAGATATAACAGAACTTGCTCTTTCTTCAATTGTTTCTTTTGTTGAAAATTTAATTGATGATAAACTGGCTGATTTTTGTAACAGTTTGACACTTTCACATTCTTCTTTTCCTATTAAATTGGCAGAAAATTCTTTTTTCTCATGAATTGAAGGTTTTGAAGATAAAAGGGCTTTCTCTTGTAATTTTTCATTTAATTGGAAATCTGCCTTTTCTTGGGCATTTAAATGTTCAAAAATCAGTTGACCTTCAATTTTAAAATCTCCAGCTGATTTTGTTTTTATTTTTTCTTCCAACTGTCTTTTTTCTTTAATCTCAATTTCAATTTCTCCCCGAGTTTTTGGTCTCTGATCAAAAGAAATAGAAGAATCAAATCGAGTTTCCCCAAATTCTTTTATTTTACAAATAACTGATGATTGACTTGCTGATTTAATTATTTTATTGGCAATATGTCTTTCCTCATTTCCAGAGAGATTAACTTGGAAATCTTCCTTTTCTGAAGTAGTTTCTTTAAATTTCTTAATTATTTTCTCTTCTCTCTGGTCTCTTAAAAATTTAGATATTTCTACTTCAGATTTTGATTTTTGAAGAAATCCTTCAAAATTACTTTTAATATCTTCAAAAGATTTAATATTTAATTTTTCTAGAATCTTAATTTTGTCTTCAAAATTAATTTTAGTTTCTTTTAATTCTTTTAAGCTTTTAACAAAAGACATAAATGAGGATATTTTTTCTTCTCCAAATTCTTTTAATTTAATTGAAATATTTATTTCACTAGCTGATTTCTGTATTTTTCTAGTACTTTCAAATTCTTCTTTGCCAATAAATTTAGTTGAAAATTCTTTTTTCTCTTGAATTGAAGATTTTGATGATAAAAGGGACTTTTCTTTTGGGGTTTCTTTTATCGAAGATGATGTTTCTTTTTTGTCATTTGATTGTTCTAAATTTATTTCATTTTGTGTTTTGAAATCCCCGGCTGATTTTGTGCTGATTTTCTCTTCTAATTTTCTTTTCTCTTTAATTTTAATTTCAAATTCTTTAAAATCTTTTTGTTTCTGATCAATTGATATCGAAGAAATTGCCCCTTCTTCACTAAATTCTCTACCAAAAAATTTAATTGAAGATTGACTAGCTGATTTAATTATCTTCCTATCACTTTCCCATTCTTCTTTTCCAATTAAATTTGCGGTAAAATCCTTTTTCTCGTGGATTGAGGCTTTTGATGATAAGAAAGTTTTGTCTTGTAATTTTTCCTTTAAATTCAAATCAGTTATTCCTTCAAAATTTGGATGTTCCAAAGCTATTCGACTTTCAATTTTTAACTCTCCGACTGCTTTAGTGTTGATTTTCTCTTCTAATTTCCGCTTCTCTTTAATTTCAATTTCAAATTCTCCCCAAGTTTTTGGTCTCTGATCAAAAGAAATAAAAGAATCAGATCTCGTTTCTCCAAATTCTTTTATTTTGGAAATAACTGATGATTGACTGGCAGATTTAATTATTTTTCTATAACTTTCCCAGTCTTCCTTTCCAATCAAATTTGCTTGGAAATTTTTAAATTCCTCTTTAAATGTTTTTGTATTTATATTTATTTCTTCTTTTCTTTGTTCTTTTATTAATTTAGAGACTTCTGCTTCAGATTTTGATTTTTGCAGAAATTTTTCTTCCTCAATTCTAACATCTCCAAATGTTTTTGTATTTAATTTTTCTTGTATTTTATATTTGTCTGAGTAAACGACTTCAATTTCATTTTTATCTTTTAATTTATTTTCAATATAAATATTTGAATTTAATCCTTCTTCACTCATTTCTCTTCCTTTAAATGAAATATTTGCTTGACTTTTTGATTTTAAAAGACCTTTGACATTTTCTTTTTCTTCTTTTTTTGAAATAATTGTTTGGATTTCTTCCAATTTTTCTTTGGCAACAGCTTTAGATTTAAAGAAAATATTTTCTTTAATTAAATCATTCAAATAATAACAATATTCTTTTTCAATTTTTGGCATTTTAATTTCCACTATTCTTTGTATATTTAAATCGCTAGCAGCTAAACAATTTTTATTTTCTTTTAAATTTCTTTTTTCGTTAATCAAAATTTCAACTTCCTCCCCTTCTTTTATTTTATTTTCAATACAAACAACAAATTTTAAACTTTTTTGGCCAAATTCTTTAATTTTTAAATTTGCAAAATTTTGACTTTTTGATTTTTCCAATTTATTTATTGAGTATTTATTTTGTTTATTACAAACAAAATTTGTAAATAAAATTTTAGAGTTTAAAGAAGATTCTTTTGATTTTAAATTTATCTCTTCTTTATTTTTTAATTTAACAATTTTATCAATTTGAGACTCAGATTTTGTTGAAAAATTTAAGAAAATATTTTTTTCTATTTTTACTTCTCCAGAAGATTTTCCTTTAAATTTTTCTTGAATTTGGCGTTTCTCTTTTAAATTAATTTGTGTATCTTCCAAAACTTTACAACTCTTTTCTAAAGAAAGAAAAGATCCCGAGTTTTCTTCACTAAATTCCCTGCCTTTAAATTTAATTGAAGATTGACTAGCTGATTTAATTATTTTTCTATCACTTTCCCATTCTTCTTTTCCGATTAAGTTTGCGGTAAAATCCTTCTTCTCGTGGATTGAAGCTTTAAATTTCAAGAAAATCTTTTCTTGAAATTTTTCCTTCAACTTTTTATCAGCTTTCACTTCAAAATTTGGATGTTCCAAAGCTATTTGACTTTCAATTTTAAAATCTCCAGCTGATTTTGTGTTGATTTTCTCTTCTAATTTTCTTCTCTCTTTAATTTCAATTTCAAATTCTCCCCAAGTTTTTGGTCTCTGATCAAAAGAAATAGAAGAATCAAATTGAGCTTCACCAAATTGTTTTATTTTGGAAATAACTGATGATTGACTGGCAGATTTAATTATTTTTCTATAACTTTCCCAGTCTTCCTTCCCAATCAAATTTGCTTGGAAATTTTTAAATTCCTCTTTAAATGTTTTTGTATTTATATTTATTTCTTCTTTTCTTTGTTCTTTTATTAATTTAGAGACTTCTGCTTCAGATTTTGATTTTTGAAGAAATTTTTCTTCCTCAATTATAACATCTCCAAATATTCTTGTATTTAATTTTTCTTGTATTTTATATTTGTCTGAATAAATGACTTCAATTTCATTTTTATCTTTTAATTTATTTTCAATATAAACAATTGAATTTAATCCTTCTTCACTCATTTCTCTTCCTTCAAATGAAATATTTGTTTGGTTTTTTGATTTTTGTATTTTTCTAATATTCTCCATCTCTTCTTTACCAAGTAATTTGGTAGAAACTTTTTCTTCCTCGTAAATTGGGACTTTAGTTGATAAAACATCCTTTTCGTTCCTTTTTTCCTTCAAAATTAAAGATGAGATTCCCTCATTCTGTAATTTTTCCATAAAAACCCCTTCTCGAATTTCATTATTTTGAAGTTCTTGTGTGTTCATTACCTCTTTTAATTGTCTCTTTTCCTTTAAATTAATTTCAAATTCTTCAAAATCTTTTTGTTTCTGATCAATTGATATCGAAGAAATTGCCCTCTCTTCACTAAATTCTCTACCAAAAAATTTAATTGAAGATTGACTTGCTGATTTAATTATCTTCTTTGAATTTTCCCATTCCTCTTTTCCTACAAAATTGGCTGAAAATTCTTTTAATTCTTTGATTGAGGCTTTTGATGAAAGGAAAGTTTTCTCTTGTAATTTTTCCTTTAATTTCATATCAATTTTTTCTTCAGAATCTGGATGTTCCAAAATAATTTGACTTTCGATTTTAAAATTTCCAGCTGATTTTGTTTTTATTTTCTCATCCAATTCTCTTTTCTCTTTAATTTCAATTTCAAATTCCCCAGAATCTTTTGGTCTCTGATTAAAGGAAATAATCGAATCAAATTTTGTTTCAATAAATTCCTTTAATTTAATTGAAATATTTATTTCACTAGCTGATTTTTGTATTTTTCCGGCATTTTCCCATTCTTCTTTTCCCAGTAAATTTAAACTTAAATTTGAAGCTCTTAAATTGAAATTCATTTTTCCTTCTTGTTTTTCTTTTAATTTTTCTTTTAATTTTAAAGTTGCCTTTTCTTCGGCATTAGGTTTTCTGAAAATTATTTTCTCTTCAATTTTGCAATCTTCAACAGCATTTATATTTATTTTTTCTTTTAATTGCCTTTCTTCTTTTATTTTAAATTCAACCTCTTCCCAGTCTTTTGGTCTTTGATTAATTGAAATAACCGAATCAGATCTCGTTTCAACAAATTCTCTTAAATTAGAAATAACTGATGATAAACTGGCTGATTTTTGAAGCTTTCTGGTACCTTCCCATTCTTCTTTTCCAATCAAGTTTACGGTAAAATCCTTTTTCTCGTAAATTGAAGCTTTAGTTGCTAAAAAGGATTTTTCTTTTAATTTTTCCTTCATATTTAAATTTGTATTCTCATGGGTATATAATTTTTCGAAATTTATTTCCTTTTGTGTTTTGAAATCCCCAATTGCTCTTGTATTTATTTTCTCATTTAATTTTCTCTTCTCCTTAATTTCAATTTCAAAATCTTCAAAACCTTGTTGTTCACGATAAAAGGATATAACAGAACTTGCCCTTTCATGACTAAATTCCCTGCCTTTAAATTTAATTGAAGACTGACTGACTGATTTAATTATCTTGTTTGAGCTTTCCCATTCTTCTTTTCCTACAAAATTGGCTGAAAATTCTTTTAATTCTTGGATTGAGGCTTTAGATGAAAGGAAAGTTTTTTCTTGTAATTTTTCCTTCAAATTCTGATCAGCTTTCTCTTCACAAATTAGTTTTTCTAGAATCATTTGACTTTCAATTTTGAAATCTCCAGCTGATTTTGTGTTGAATTTTTCTACTAATTTTCGCTTCTCTTCTATTTTAAGTTCAAACTCTTCAGAATCTCTCATTCTTTGATTAATAGAAATAAACGAATCAGATCTCGTTTCAACAAATTCCCTTACTTTGAAAATAACTGATGATAAACTAGCTGATTTTTGTAATTTTTTAGCACTTTCCGATTCCTCTCCAACAATTAAATTAGCAAAAAATTCTTTTTTCTCGTAAATTGAGGCTTTTGTTGACAAAAGGGATTTTTCTTTTAATTTTTCCTTCATATTCAAATTTGTATTTTCTTGGGAAAATAATTTTTCGAAAATTATTTCTTTTTGTGTTTTGAAATCCCCAACTGATTTTGTGTTGATGTTCTCTTCCAATTTTCTCTTCTCTTTAATTTCAATTTCAAATTCTCCCCAAGTTTTTGTTCTCTGATCAAAAGAGATAGAAGAATCAAATCTCGTTTCACCAAATTTTTTTATTTTGGAAATAACTGATGATTGACTGGCAGATTTAATTATTTTTCTATAACTTTCCCAGTCTTCCTTTCCAATCAAATTTGCTTGGAAATTTTTAAATTCCTCTTTAAATATTTTTGTATTTATATTTATTTCTTCTTTTCTTTGTTCTTTTACTAATTTAAAAACTTCTGCTTCAGATTTTGATTTTTGAAGAGATTTTTCTTCCTCAATTTTAATATCTCCAAATGTTTTTGTATTTAATTTTTCTTGTATTTTATTCATGTCTGAATAGATAACTTCAATTTCATTTTTGTCTTTTAATTTATTTTCAATATAAATATTTGAATTTAATCCTTCTTCGCTAATTTCTTTTGATTTAAATGAAATATTTGTTTGACTTTTTGATTTTTGTATTTCTTGAATATCCTCCAAATTTGTTTTTCCAATTAAGTTGACACTAAACTCTTTTTCCTCGCAAATTGGGGCTTTAGTTGATAAGAGAGCCTTCTCATTCCTTTTTTCTTTCAAATTTAAAGATGATATTCTCTCATCTTGTAATTTTTCTAGAACTAACTCTTTTTGAATTTTAATATCTCCAGCTGCTTTTGTTTTGATTTTTTCTTCCACTTTTTGTTTCTCCTCAATTTTAAACTCAGACTCTTCAAAGATTTCTGGGATCACCAGATTAGAAGATATAATTGGACTTGTTTTTTCCTCAATAAATTCTTTAACAATAAATTTAGTTGAGAAGTGATTGGGTGATTTTAATATTTTTCTACACCATTCATTAACTTTCTTTCCTCCTGACATATCTACCTCTATTATTATATTATTCAAAACAATTTTAGATTTATCTGTTTCACCTTTTGGATATGCCATTACTCCCAAATTTTCTAATATTTCAATTCCCTCCTCTATCATTTCTTGATTTTCTCCCCAAACATTATATCCCCCTTCCTCCTTTTCCCATTTTTTAAAGTCAACAACAACCATTCCCTTTTTAACTTCACCCAAATTTTTATTTAAAATATCGCTCTTTGTGATTTTTTTGATTGCTTCTTTAATTTCTAAATTGTTTGATATTATTCGTGGCGGTATAACTTCAATTTCCTCTAAAATATTTTTATTTATTTCCCAGTTGACTAATTTAATAATTTTTTCTAGCCTATAATTTTGTGATTTTTGTAAATTAAATACAAAATTTTTTCTTTCTTCCTCCTCCTTTTTAATTAAAAATACATTTACAAGCTTTATTTCTTCAAACTTTTTATTAATTTCCTTTCCTTCTTCCAATTTTCCATTTAGTATTTTTAATCTTTCACCATTTAAATAATTTATTTCCTTCAATTTAATTTCTACTTCCTCAAAAATATTTAAATTTTTAATTAAATTAATTATTGAATTTACTTCTATTTTATTAAATTCTTTAATTTTTAATTTTGCCAAATTTTTATTTTTTAATTTATTTAATTTTGTAATACTTCCCCAGTCTTCTTTAATTGTTAAATTTATATTTACTTCATTAAATTCATTTTTTGTTGATTTAATCGAAAATAAATATTTTTCTTTAATTTTTTCATTAATCTTTATAAAAGCCTTCTTTTCTTCTTCATTAATATTTTTAAAAATAAATTGAATATTTATTTCAGAATATTCTGATTCTTTTAAATTTATTTTCTTCTCTAACCAGCTCTTTTCTTTTATTTTTTCTTCAATTCCTCCAAAAATTTTTGGAAATTTTTCAATAAAAATTGTTGAGAAAACCTTTACTTTTTCCAATTCTTTAATTTTAAATTTAATTTTTAATTTATTTTTTTCTTTATTTAATTTTTTAATTTCTTCTTTTTCTTCTTTTCCAAATAAAATTATTTGTTGTAAATTACTAATTAATTTTAAATAAATATTTTCTTTTAATTTTTCTTTTATTAATTTAAATATTTTTTCTTCACAATTTAATTTTTTGTAAAAAATTGTTTCTTTAAAAATATTAATATTTTTGGAGGACTGGGTATTTAATTTTTCTTTTAATTTTATTTTGTCTAATAATTTTACTTCCTTTTGTTTTGAATGTTCTGATTTTTTTGAAAAAGAAAAAATTGAAAAAGCAGAACTTGAATTTGAAGAATTTTGTGTTTTTCTGACATTCTGGAAATCTTCGTCTTTTTTGAAAAAATTGTAGGATTCTTTTTCCTCATAAATTGAGGCCTTAGTTAATAAACTATCATTTTCACTCCTTTTTTCCTTCAAAATTAAAGATGAGATCCCCTTATCTTGTAACTTTTCCATAAAAACCCCTTCTTCAATTTTAGAATCTTCAGCTGATTTTGTTTTTATTTTTTCTTCCAATTGTCTTTTCCCTTTAATTTTACTTTCAAATTCTTCAAAATCTTTTGGTTTCTGATCAATTGATATCGAATAAATTGCCGACTCTTCACTAAATTCTCTCCCAAAAAATTTAATTGAAGATTGACTTGCTGATTTAACCATCTTTCTATCACTTTCCCATTCTTCTTTTCCTTGTAGATTTGCTTGGAAATCTTTAATTTCTTGTGTTGAGGGTTTAGATTTTAATATTGACTTCTCTTTTCTTTTTTCTTTTAGAGTAAATCCAATAATTTCTGGTTTACTCTTTTGTTCAAAATAAATATTTTGTCCAATTTTTAAATCCCCCATTTCTTTTGTATTTAATTTTTCTTTAATTTTGTATTTTTCTTTTAATTTAATTTCTGATTCTTCCAAGTATTCCTTCGGTTTTTCTATAAACAAAACAGAAGATGCTCGAGATTCAATAAATTCTTTTAATTTTAATGTTACTGAAGACAAACTTTTTGATTTTTGAATTTTTCTAGTACTTTCCCATTCCTCTTTTCCTACAAAATTGGCTGAAAATTCTTTTAATTCTTTAATTGAGGCTTTTAATGAAAGGAAAGTTTTTTCTTGTAATTTTTCCTTTAATTTCTTATCAGTTTTTTCCTCAGAATTTGGATGTTCCAAAGTTATTTGACTTTCAATTTTGAAATCTCCAGCTGCTTTTGTGTTGATTTCCTCTTTTAATTTCCCTTTCTCTTTTATTTTAAATTCTAACTCCTCAGAATCTTTCGGTCCTTGATTTGTAGAAATAAATGAATCAGATCTTGTTTCAACAAATTCTCTTACTTTGAAAATAACTGATGATAAACTGGCTGATTTTTGTAATTTTTTAGCACCTTCCCATTCTTCTTTTCCAATAAAATTGGCAGAAAATTCTTTTTCCGCATAAATTGGAGCTTTTGAAGACAAAAGGGTTTTTTCTTTTAGTTTTTTCTTTAAATGTAAATCTATCTTTTCTTGAACATCTAATTGTTCAAAAATCATTTGGTCTTCAATTTTAAGATCTCCAGCTGATTTTGATTTTATTTTTTCTTCCATTTCCCCTTTCTTTTTAATTTTAATTTCAAATTCTTCAAAATCCTTTGGTTTCTGATCAATTGATATCGAAGAACTTGCCCTCTCTTCACTAAATTCTCTCCCAATAAATTTAATTGAAGATTGACTTGCTGATTTAATTATCTTCCTATCACTTTCCCTTTCTTCTTTTCGCACAAAATTGGCTGAAAATTCTTTTTTCTCGTGAATTGAGGTTTTTGATGAAAGGAATGTTTTTTCTTGTAATTTTTCCTTTAATTTCTTATCGGTTTTTTCCTCAGAATTTAGTTTTTCTAGAATTACTTCATTTTTAATTTTATAATCACTAGCTGATTTTGTATTTATTTTCTCTTCCAATTGTGTTTTCTCTTTAATTTCAATTCCAAATTCTTCAGAATCCTTTGATCTCTGATCGATAGAAATAAACAAATCAGATCTCGTTTCAATAAATTCTTTAATTTTAGAATTAATTGCAGATTGACTAACAGATTTTGTTATTTTTCTAGTACTTTCCCATTCCTCTTTTCCTACAAAATTGGCTGAAAATTCTTTTTTCTCGTAAATTGAGGCTTTACTATCTAAAAAGGATTTTTCTTTTAATTTTTCCTTTATCTTCAAATTTGTCTTTTCTTGGGCAAATAATTTTTCGAAATTTATTTCTTTTTGTGTTTTGAAATCCCCAACTGCTTTTGTGTTGATTTTCTCTTTTAATCTTCGCTTCTCTTTAATTTTAATTTCGAATTCTCCCCAAATTTTTGGTCTCTGATCAAAAGAGATAGAAGAATCAAATCTAGTTTCCCCAAATTCTTTTATTTTGGAAATAACTGATGATTGACTGGCAGATTTAATTATTTTTCTATAACTTTCCCAGTCTTCCTTCCCAACCAAATTTGCTTGGAAATTTTTAAATTCCTCTTTAAATATTTTTGTATTTATATTTATTTCTTCTTTTCTTTGTTCTTTTATTAATTTAGAAACTTCTGCTTCAGATTTTGATTTTTGAAGTTCGTATTTGATTGAAATAACCGGAGATTCTTTCACTTCACTAAATTCTCCTGTTATCGACGATTGTCTTGAAGATTTCATTATTTTCTTAAAAATTTCCAATTCATCTTTCTCAGTCAATAATTCCTCCTCCTCTTTTTCATTTATTTCGTCTTCTTCAAATAATTGAGAATCTCCATATTTCGTTAACCATTCCTCAACTTTTATTTGGCTATCAATTACTTTTTTTGGTTCATTTTTAACAACAGCTTTTATTCGAAGCACAAAATCTTTTTCTGATTCGAAAACTTTAGCATCAAATCCAAATATTTTTAAAGAAGGTAAAGTATGTGTTTGGTCTTTTAATTCTTTTTCCCCTTCAGAACTAATTTTTGAAATTTCAGAATTTATACCGACAGAATCTAAAGAAGAAGAACTTTTATTTTTTTCTTCGGGTATTTTAATAGTTCTTTCAGAAATTGGCGAAATTAATTGTTGATTTTGTTCAAGTAACATTACAGAAACTTGTAAGGATTCTTCAGGATGACTAATTTGTAATAAATTAAAATTATTAATTTTTTCTTCGTCAAAATATTCTTCAATATTTTCTAATTGCTTCTCTAAAATTTCATTAGAAGCAAAATCTTTAGAAGTTCTTTCCAAATAAATGGGAATATTTAATTCTTCAATAATTCCCCTCTCTTCACAAATATTTTCATTAATCTTTAAATATTCACTTTGAAGGAAAGAGGTTTCAGTAAACCCAGAATCTGATCTTTTTTTAATAAATTCTTCATTATCTACTTTATTCTCCTTCATTTGACCCAAAACTTGTGTTTCAATTCCCAAACAGATTTTTACTTCCTCTTTAACTGATTTTAATATTTCTTCCACATTTTGGGCTGAAAAATCATTCCTCGTTTCTGTAACCGAATTTTTGATAAATTTTCAAAAGAATCCCTTTAACTCTTTTATTTTTTTATTAGAAATGTATCAAAATAATTACAAAAATAAAAATAAAGCAATAAAAAAATTTTGATAAATTTTTTTATAATTCTACTCAATTTTCAGACTAATTATACTTAGCGCACTTTTAGCACCTTTGAGCATTTTTAGCCTTTTTAAAATATTTTTTCGCAATATATTTTTATTTTATATTTGGAGCTTTTACTCGCCTCTGCTGCTGCTTGGGGAGGAGACCGCGGGTATTTCTCTACGTTCATACTTATAATTTTTAAAAATATTTCTTTATAAATTTGCCTACCAGTTTCAATTTCAACAGGTGTAGCAACATATTTATTGATGCTGACTATTTGTTCTTCTTTTTGTTCTTCCAAAACTTGTCCTTCCCAACTTTTGTAAACTTTCTTCTTTTCTTCTATAGTCATTGTACCTTGGTCTTCTTGACAAGTTCCAAGTGTTTGGACGTACATTTCGTTTGTTAATTTTCTCAGTTCATCAGCTGAAACTGTCCGCATCAATTTTGTTGGGCCTTCCATTTGAGTTTCTCCAATAGACATTTCTTGTCTTACACCAACTGATTTTGGCATTAATTGAATTTCTTCTGATGAAGTTATTTTAGAAGCAATCTCTCTAGGTGTTGATTCTGACTTTATAGTACGAAGAAGAGGCTTTTCTGCTTGAACAGCTTGATGTTTCTGTTCTGGACTTTCAGTCTGAGCTATTCTTCCTTCCATCCAGGGAGAAGCTTGAATAGCCTGGCAGCTTTGTTGTGGACCTTCTGATTGTGTTCCACGTCCAAATAGTTCAACAATCTCAGATTGAACTTCTCTCCCTTTTAATACAGTTTTATCCATTTGAGTACCTCTTGCTTCAAGAATTTTCTGTTCTGATTGTGTTGACATTTCTAATTGCTGAATTACTGGTGTTTGAAGTAATCGACTTGAGATAGTTGGTTTTACTTGTACTTCTTGTGTTATATGTTCAGGTACTTCCATTTGTACAGATTTTTCTCCTAGTGTAGGTCCAGCCTGTATAGTACATTTTCCAAGTGCAATCTCTTCTACTTGAGTTTGTCCTGCAGCTTGTAGAACTTTTTCAGACTGAACTGCTTGGACTTGAAGTTGAGGTCTATCCATTTGGGTTCCTTGACTTTCTACTATTTCCTTTTCTGTTTGAAATTCTTTCCCTCCTAATGATGGTTTAGTTTGTGTTTCTTTTGTTTGCTCTTCTTTTTGTACTGATTGAACTGTACGGTCAGTAATTTTTGTTATTTCTGATTGTGTTTCCTCTTCTTTTAGTTGTGTTAAATCAGTTTCACTTGTTTTTAATCCAAATTCTGGACGCGTTTGGAATGAATGTATTTGGCGTATTTCAACTTCTGATTGAACTGCTCGAACTTCTGTTTTAGGCATTTCTACTGTTTGTATTGTCCTCTCTTCAGTACTTGCCCTCGGTGATTGTAAATCTTTAGATAACATTTCAGGCTGTCCCTGTATTGATTTGGCACCTTTTTGTGCCCTTTCTGATTGTACTGATTGTGCTCTTCTCTTTGGAAGTTCAATTTTTGGTTGTTCTACTTCAACAGTTTTTGAACCTGTTGGAACTTCTTGTGTTTGTATAGCCATTAATTGTTGCTCTATTCTCTGTGCTTGTGTTGTTCGAGCAGTAAGAGAAGGAAGATTTACACCAATTGTTCTTCCTCCCTTTTTTATCATTTCTTCTGTTTGAGAGGCATCATCTTTATTTTCTTGTTTAATTTCAACAGTTTGTACTTCCCTTTTATTTAATTCTTGTCTTGCTTGAACTTCTTTTGTTTCTGTTATTTTAACTTCTGTTTGAGAAATTCTTTCAAATTGTTCTGTTTTAAGTACTTGTATTGACTTATCACCCAAAGAAGGTAATTCTACTCCTATAGTTTTTTCTCCAATTAAAGGCTTTTCAGATTGAGTATATTTTATTTGTTCTTCTTTTAAAGTTTGAACTGAACGAATTTGTTTAGGTTGAGGTAATGCTTGGACAGATTGTTGCCCTTTCTTTGGTTTATCTTCCATTTGTGTTGACTTCCCGATCATTTCTTTTTGTTCAGTTTGTACAAATGCACCAAGTAATTGAGGCTTTTGAATTGTTTCAATTACTTGAATTGTTCTATCTTCTCTCCAAGGCTGCTCTAATTGAATAGATTTAGCTCTTTTTGGAGGTCCTTCAACTTGAATATCTCTTTGGGCTATTTTCTTTTGTTGTTCAAATGTCGAAATAGAGGGTATTGGTTGTGGTTCAGGTAAAGATTCTACCCAAGTTGCGCTCGCTTTAATTGATTCAGCCAAACGCGCATCGCTTTCTTTTGTTGTTGGAAGTGCCACAAAATGGGACACAGCAAAACGTTGTTTCTCAGATTCGTGAATTGTGGTGCTGGTGCTTTGGTGAACAAAAACACTTTCGAGGGGAGAAACAGCGCGAGGCGAGAGAGGCGGAGGAAGCGGCGGCGGCCGCTCCTCTAGGCCGGGCGGAGGGGCCGACCAATGAAAACGAAGCTCGGAACCTGATGAAATAAATTTTTAAAAATTGTTTTATTTTTTTATTAGAAACCAATTAAATTATTTTTTTAGTCCAAAATTACCCAAAAATGAAGAATGCTCTTATTTAGCATTTTTCTGAATTTTATTTAAAAGTAATTTTAAAGAAAATAAAAAAAATTATATACACTTTTTACTCTTTTACGCTTCGATTTCCCCTCCGCCCGTTAATTTCTACTTTTTCTAGCTTCTAGCTTTCTACTAAATATTTAAAATAGCTTTCTAATTTTTTTCTAATTTAAAAAAAGTTGCATCTAAAAAAGCTTTTTCTACTAAAGCTTTCTGCATTTTTGGGTAATAAAGCTTTGTGATATTAAAAAAGCAGGAAAATATGAGTATTTGTTAATATGTTTATTTTTAATTTCTAAGTGAAAATTAATAGAAATCTAATTAATTTTAATTTTATTTACACGGCAATTTATACACAAAAATTGTTAAAGTACTCGTGAAAAAAAGAAAACGTTAGAGGTTGAGGAAAAAGATTCTTTTTGACTACCTGAAACAGAATGTCCCCAATCTGCAGTTGTTTGTTCTCCCATAACGCTTCTATGTTCCATTAAAACAGAACAATGTTCATCTTGAGTAGAAAATTCACGAATATTCTGACGAATCTACAGAAAAAGAAATTAAAACTTGTTTAAAAATTAATATTTCTCAAATTTCTGTTAAATAAATTTCCAATTTTCCAATTGCAGTTACTATAGTTTTTTTAATCTAAGCGAAACTTCCAATATAAACTCAATATAACGAAAATTTTAACTCTTATTGTTAGACTAGGTATATTTATATTTCCCAAAAAAATCAAAATTAGAATAACCATATCAATTCTCGGTAATCTAATAGGTCTAGATTCAACACTAAATTGTGAATTTTCATATTCTTTTCTCTCCAAATGAACATGTTGGGTTAATTGAGACATTTGTTGGGCTATTGTATTGAATTGATGTCCGTGTGATTCTCTTCTTTCATTTAATATTTTAAATACATCCGGAGCTACGAAAAGACGTCCAGAAGCTCCTAAATAAATTTTGTTAATTGTAAATATTATTTTATTTTATAAAAAAGATTGTTTTTACACTTAAATATTATTAAAATATTTTTTAAATTAAAAATCCCTCCTAAATAAGAGTGCCCTTTTATTGTCCTTTGATTATGAACAACACCTTTGATTCCCCAAAAATTTCTTTCTTAAGTAGACAAAGGGATTTGATTTAATTTTAAAATGTTAAAGTTCCTGAAACGTTTTCGTAATTCCAAACAAATTTAAAATCTCCGGCCTTCGATTAAATTTCTCTACAAATATTAAAAACTAACCAATACTCAAACTGAGATTCACATTTTCTGAAATAAATTCTGTTGCGAAGAAAGGTGCAATTCTTTCAATATTTATTGCTTTATTTAATTTTTCTGTCAAGAAATCTCTTTTTCGAATATCACTTTCAAAGGCACAAAATAGTGTTATTTGTGATGATTGTTGGGCAATTGTATTAAAATTAGCAATTAAATTATTTGAACATTTTTGGATTATTTCAGAACGAGCCTTTAAAATTTTATGTAAATTTAAAAAGGTTTAGAAGACAAAACCCCTACTTCTTCAATTCTTTCCTTTTCAATTGTTTTCATAAATTCCATAGCTTCATAAAGTTGTTTTGGACGTTCAAAGGCTTTTAATGACGGTAAAGGAATAATATTCCATTTATTATCACAAACAATAGTTAATTCAAAGGAGCCTTTATCCTCTTTTCTGACCATATTAACATGAGTAATTCCTCCACCTGAAAAAAATAAAAAAATTATTTGTTAAGGACGGAAATAGGTTCCTTTCCCTTCCAGACTTGTTAAGTTTTCTTGTTATTTACTGAAACTAGGGTTGTACCCCGAACGTTCGGGGGCGGGTATGTCGGGGTACGGGGTTTTCCAATTGTTTCGGGGCGGGGTTCGGGTCGGGGGAGCAAAATATGGCCGGGGTTCGGGTCGGGGTTCGGGGTTTTCAGGAAAAAATTTTTAGAGAAAAAAATGCTCATAAATAATCAGATTTCGGTATATTTTCGCTAATTTATTCAAAAATTAAGTAGGATCTGGAGAAATTAGAGAGGATTTGAAGGGATTAAAGTGTATAACTTGGGATATAAGTGGATCTGGAGGGATTAAATGGGATTTTAGGAATTAAATGGTATATCTAGGGATGCAAGGTGATCTGGAGTGATTTTTGTTGGTTCAAGGGATATCAGTGATTCATAAGGATATTGAAGTATTGCGTATAAAAGTTTAAGGATTAACCCTTAAATCTCCCACGAAATATTGTTAATTCATCTACATATATCCGCTAAATTCACGTAATACTTTCAAATCCATTGTAATCTACACATTATATCCATTTAAATCCCTTTAACTCCTTAATTCTTCGATATCCTACAAATCCCTTTATATCTCTGATTCCCGTTAATTTTTATCAGTCTGCTAACTGATAAAAATTAATAACTGATAATAATTAAATTTCCATAATAATTAAGAAGTAGTTTCAGTCTGAAACTACTTAATTATTATGGAAATTTAATTATTACCAGTTATTAATTTTTATCAGTTAGCAGAAAAAACATTTTTTCTCACCAGCTCTTTCTTCGTAATCAATTGAAGTTTCAGATTCATAACGTTTCATAGGACGTAATCTATCCATTCCTTCAAGTAATTGTCCGCTCATTTCCATTGAATATATTCCTTGTTTAGGTTCTGTTGTTGTTGTTGCCCCATAAGAAGAAACACTAGATTCTTCAGAATATACACGGCCTTGAGTACGAAGAAAAGCTCGGCCTTCGTGGTGTTGACCTGCTAATTGATAATCAAAAGAAGTCCCCAAAGCCTTAAAGGAAAAATTCAAAAAAATTTTATTTTTTAATTGCCTCATGAACATTTATTTCCTTTCTTTGTTGTTCATGTAACCTTTCATGTACTTGTAAAAGTTGCTGAGGTAATTCTGTAGTTACTTCAATTCTTGGAGGTGCACTAATTAATATAGGAGGTGTTTCTGTTAATTCAAGACTTTCCTCTGATTCAAAACTTAAAAAATCTTTTATAATTTTTTCATTCCCCCTGTACCGGCTTGTTTTAGCTAATCTAGTTATGTCATGATATCTTCTTCCCTGCCTTTCATATCCATAACCAGCAGCCATTTGTTGTTGTTGTATACGCCTTCTTTTAGCTTTATGTAAACGTAAAATAATTGTTAAATGTTGAAGTAATGGAACAGCTATATAAACTTCCATTAAAGACCGGTCTTCTCTTCGTTGTAATTCACAATCAACCTATTAATTTTTAAGAAATTTTTTTAAAAGAAATTTTTGTGTTTTTACAAGGGCTGCAGCCTCAGGTGGAGGTTTAGGTGCAGATTCAATAGATTCTTCTGACATTTCCTCTGCAGCTCTATGTTGTATACCAATTCTAGCTTTATCTTCAAATAAACGCCCTTCCTGCATTAAACGAATATCTCTACGTTCTAATTCTTCCGGTTCAAGTTGGTCTATATAAACACGACTTTCTAATTCTATTGGGCCTTTAAATAAAGGAGGAAATATTTATTTAAAAAAATAATTTACCTAATTCACTTAAATGGTCAGATGCTGATTCATAAGCAAATTCTTCGACTGGTGGTGCTAACATTGTGGGTAACTGGACGGGGGCTGGTTGCTCCTCCTCCTTTGGAGCAGCTAGTCCAATTCGATAAGTTTTTACAATATCAGTTACATCCTCTATACATTCAATCTCAACACGAGTAACTGCCGTAATTTGCTCTTGGGAATCATCTAGTGATGCCAAATCAGAAAGTAAACGTTCACTTAATTTAGCCAAATAATCTGGTTTGCTCTAAATTAAAAAAATATTTCTTTAATTCCTCTCTTTATTTCAAACAATATTTTCTGGTAATTGAATATCTGCTTCATGTGTTCCAATTTCCTTTCCATCCTCAAAAACTGAAAGTCGGTAAGTACCACTTGAACGGACCGTTGGTGTTCCTTTCCCTCCGCCTTCCCCAACTTCAGTTTTTTGTATTTCTTCAATTAATAATTGCCTTTTACCTTTAAAAATAAATTAAATTTTAATAATCAACAAGAAATATGTACCAATAATTGTTCGAATTCTGTAATGTGTTAATGTATCCCTAACTGTATATGCCTTGGCTATTTCGTGATCACAACGAATTAAATGTGATCCAACAGATTTTTCCATTTTTAATTTTCCTTCAACTGTTGTTTTAACAACTGGGGGTAATGGTCTTTTTTGTTCTGTTTCAAGTACATGTTCACGTTCTACATGTCGATGAATGAAAATATGATCTGGTCCTTCATCTAAATATTTTTTTTAATTATTATAGTATTTAAAACAAATAAATAACCCCCATCAATAACATTTTCTTCTTCTTCTCTTTTTCCATTCTCAGGCCCAGGCCGGTGGCCCTCCCCTCCTCCAGCTACAATTCCACTCTCAAATTGTTCAGACATTGTTGGTATTTGTGGCCATGGTTGACCAGAAGCAGGTCGAGTCAATCCAGCAAAAGGAGCAGTAGAACGACGTCCTCTAGCAGCAGCACCAGTCGTCGCGCTTACTGTATCTGGAGAGATTTCTCGAGTAATTGGTGTTTGTTGCTGCTGGCGCGAAATAAATTGTTGAGGAACGCGAAAACGCTATAAAAATATTTCTCTTAATAAAATAAAATTTATTTTGCCTGCATCTGACTTGTAGAGGCTGCCTTCTGCACATTACGACCGCCAGTAAATTTATTAAAAGAAACTGGCTCTTCAGAAAGTCGTAACAAGTCCCGGGCTGCCTCATCCAAAGCTGCCCCCGCTTCTTCTGAACTAGCCGAATGTTGTGGACCTCCACCGCCAATACCTCTTTGCCATTGTTTTGTTGGAGTACCCCCTAGATTGCCTATACGGGTATTTACTGTTGAAGTTTTCTTTAAAAGAAAAGAAATAGAAATTAATTTTTTTAGAATTATTTGCCTGTTGTGGATGTTGTGTTGGTGGTTGATAAACACCAAAATTTCTTCCAACTCTTGTATTACTTCCAAGTTGTGGTATTGTATAAAGGGATTGGGAAATTGTTTGTTGTTGTTTTTGACTTGGAATTTGATGAAAAGGGGGTGGTCGAGTCTGTAAAAGAAAAAATTTTAAAAATTTCTTTTAAAATTGCCTGTTCACTTTCACTTCTTTGTTGTTGTTGTGGAAATGCAAAGAGGGCTTGTTGTTGTTTTAATAAATCATGATCACCAAATTTAACTGTTTTAGGTGACAACGGAGCGCTTACTGTAAGAAAATATTTTGGCCAATATTTTTAACAAAAAGTTAAAGAATTCTCTGGGTTATTTTCGGTCATGTTCTCGAAAATTTAAAATTTTTTTATCCGCAAGTTTCATTTTCAAAAAGTTTATTTTGAGGGCATTCAGAGGTAAAAGTAGCAAACAATGTTAATTTTATACTTCCAAAATATTAATCCTTTTTATAAAGAAATCTGGTTTTTTACCATTTCTTTGTTGTTTCCAAGTCTGTTCAAGTTCAGCATAATCCCCATCAATAGAACATTCTAAAGGTTGTTGTTTATGAACAAAAGATATTTGTTGTTGTTGTTGAGGTAATACTTTACGAGGTCGAGGTATTGGTTGTTGTTTAGGAGAAGGTTGTTGTTGTTGTTGATTATTTAAATCAACAGTTACCCCTCCAGAACGTAAAATTTTCTTTAAAAATAAAATTTAAAAATTTTAAAAGGAAAATAAAAACATGTAAAAATCCAGCAGGTCTTTGTAGTGGAGGTGTTTGTTGGATTTGTTGTAAAGGGGGAGGTGCTGATCCAAATGGACGCCTAATTGGTTGTGGTGGTTGTTGATATTCTATACCTACATCTCCTCCACTAAATAATAAATTTCGATAAGTTTACGGATCTTATTTAAAGAATACAAAATATTTAATTAATTTAATCTGTAACTGTTAACTAATTAATTTTAAAATTAAAACTTTTCCCTACTTTGTATTTCCATAAAACATTTGTTTTAGTCCACGACGCATTTTGCTAAATGGCACTCCGGGTGAAGAATACCTACGAAAAAGTAATTAAAATTAATTTATAAATTTTCTTTCAATATTTTCAAAATGATCAGAATATTTTTTAATAAAAAATTATTAGATAAGTAAAGAAAGAGAGAGAGAGAGAGAGAGATTAGGAGGATTTTTATTTTATTTCCACAACTTTTACCAAAAAATAATTTTAAAAAATTTTCTAATTTTATAAATAAAAATTTATTTCACACTTTTCTTCTTCTTCTTCTTCCTTCTTTTCATCATTTACTTCATCTTCCTCCCTTTCTTCTTCTTCTTCAAATTTTCTTCTTTTTATTTCCCTTCCTTTAGGTAATTTCCCTAACATTAACTGTTTTAATTCTTCTAATTCATTTGTATCATCCAAACGAAGGGAAGATTTTGAGGCTATAGAAGAATATTGAGGGTATAAATGTACAGAAATAGCTCTAGGTCTTTGTTCTGATTTTAAAAAATATTCTGTGCTTAATTGTGGACTGTTAGGCGCTGTTTTGGTTATAAAACTTTCTTTTAATTTAAAAGCATTTTCTGAAGTAAATTTAGCTAAAGATTGTTTTAAACATTCAATAACTGCTTCGTGTCTAGAATTGTTGCTTTTTGTTGCTTTAATTATATTTTTTAATTTGGAATGTTTTTGTTTAAATTTTTCAAATTCATCATCCACTAATAATTCCTCCTCCACCTCCTCCTCTTCTTCTTTATTTTTTCCTTCTTTTTCCTTTTTCTTCTTCTAATTTTTTTATAAAAATATTTTTTATACTTTAATATATTGCCTTATTTTTTGATAAAAAAAACTTTTTTTTATTTATTTCACAAAACACAATAGATGATTAATTTATTTAATCCATTCTGTTAACTTCGAGAAATCGACGTTAATCGAATGAAATCTTTTAAATTCTCTACCCAACTATTCATCCAACAAACAACTTTTTGTATTTTTATTTATTTTCCAAAAAAAATTTAAGGCAATATATTTTCAGTATTTATTTATAGGGTTGTCGGTTTCTGGAAATTCTTCGGATATCCGAAGAGCCGAACTGAAGAGCCAAACCGAACCGAAAAATCATCGGTTCTTCGGTTCGGTCCAGAACCGACATTTTATTTACCATTAAATTATTTATTTCTTGTAATTGTTCTTCTATTAATTCAATTCTTTCAGCTCGACTTTTTCTCCTTTTAATTATTGAAGGAGGTTTAATTAATTTAATTGTGGCACTTGTAGATACTTCATTTCCTCCTTCCCTTCTTTTTTCCAAAATTCTTTTATTAATTTCTTCCCTCTTTTCCAGCCATTTTTTCTTTTCTAATTCAAAAATTGAATTTATTTTCCTAACTTCTTCATTTGGCGGATATTTAGATATTTGTCCAAAATTGTGGGGCCTTTCCCATTTTTTCGAAATTCTTTTTAAAATTTTTGGGGACAAAGATTGCTGTTTCCTCTTTATTTTTAAAGATTCTTTTAAAAAATTATTTTCTCTTTCTTCATCAGATCCACTTAATTTAAATTCTTCTTCAGAAAAATAAGCTAAAGGAGCAACATTTTTATTATCAAAACTTCTAAAAATCCCTTGTTGTTTAAAATAAAAATCAGAAATTGAAGAACTTCTTTTAGCTAATTTAACACCAATTTTGTTTTGTAATCTCCTTTCTTCTTCCCTTCTATTATTTTTACAAAAACAAGGTAAACAACAACAACAACATTTACATCCACAACATTTAGAATTAATGTTTTGTTGTTTTGGAATATGAGACATTTTATTTTTAGAGAGAAAATAAACTAATTTATTAATTAATTATTTTAATTATATGCCAAAAATTAATTTAGAGGTTATTTAAATATTTCTTAAAGAATTAATTAAAGAATTTATCGAGGAAAATGAATAAAAATTAAATCTTTTGGAAAATAAAAAATGTTATTTAAAATAAATATACAAATATTTAAAATTATTTTGCTTTTAAGAAAAAAAAGAAAAAATTTTTTGTCAACCTTTCCATTGTTTTCAAATTTTAGCTAATTATTTACAAATCTTTTGCGCGAAAAATAAAGGAAAAAAAGAAAAATTTAAATCCATTATATATTTTTAAATAAACTTAAGTAACAAAAGTCAAGTCAGTCAAGTCCTCATTACAATATAACCCAAAATTAGCTACCTCAATTTATTTTAAATTTTAGT